TATCACCCAAAACCCTATTCTAAGTATTAAGGCATCTACATTAGGGCTTAGGAGGTTCAGGCTTGGAATGTCTGCGGTTTAGGGCCTAAGTTTTCCATCGAAGCTCGGTTGCAATGGTGGCCGGGCAGCTTGCAACTTTTGCTGTACAGAATTCACGCCTTGTGCTTACGAAGCTGTCAGCATCAATGGGCTCCGAAGGTGGCATAAAGGTAGGTGCGTGCGTACCAAAACTGGGTGCCTGTGTAAGGGATTCTTATTCCCACCTACCTGCGTCCCACCCGGTGATGTCCTTGACTGCAGTGAGACCATCAAGCATATGAGCTCGCAAAGTGTGCAGGGTTCCCTCTAGGAGCTGACAGAGATCCAGAAAGCCCAATACGCCTTTAATACGCTTTAATACGCCTTTAACAGTAGATGGATCTTGAACATGGTCCAATGCACATGGCTCAAAGAACATTCCTGAACCCTCAACCCTAAAGCCTAAACCCTCAACCCTAAACCCCAAACCCTTAGCCCTCAGCCCCCTAAACCGCCCGCCCTAAACTCCAAACCCTACCGAGCTAAGGACATGGACTGCTGAAACCAAGCCCTGACCCCCTGACCGGCTGTTGTGATTATTATGATGACTGTGACCATGACTATGAAATTAGTTATGACTATGGCTATGGCGGCTATGATTGCGACATTCTGCCTGTGAGAGACCATGTGGTTATGCCCAGGGATCAATCTTTAACTTTAGTGTTATCACCATTATGAAGATCATTACTTTGGTTGCCGTTGTTGTTATTTTCTGATCTTTACCCTAACCCCCCAGTTACCTACTATATAGGGTCCTAGAGCCCCTAAGGCCCTTTGTAGTAGGTACCTGGAGGGTTAGGTTTCAAACCTCGCTGTGAAAGTGGTGCTGTCCAGTGGTCCGGGCCAGCAGTTGTTCAATGGGTTTTTTGTAGACATGTTAGCGTTGCCTATCGTGCTCCACTGCGTTTGTCGTACATCCATGTACACAATATCAAATTATAGACCCCAGACCTCTGAACCCGCTGGTTTCCGCTTGATTGCAACACGTCTGGGTTGGAATTTGGAACATGACATTACGTTGTTAGCCAGGACTGTTGCGCTGGTGCGGCTGCGATGCCTCCCACCACCACACCAGACCATGCAGTTATGCTGCATGTTTGCAGTTTTCTGTGAACGAGCTCTTCAGCGCAATTTCTCAGAGTGTAGTTTGATCCGGACCTTCAAGCCGTCCTTGGTGTCTTTGATAGGCCAGAACTGCACAAGCTCTAAACGCTAGAAAACTAAATCTACCCATAGGCTCCATAGCAGTTCCTTTTTGGGGTTCATGTTTAGAATCCTCTAGGGTAATCCCAAAAAGGAACTACTATGGGGCATATGGGTAACGCCAGAGCTTCATGAAGGCCTGGCGCGAAGCAGTTGCTGCTGGGCCTGCGCTTGACGAGGTCCGGGGCCTTCCGAGCCAGGCTTTCAGTGTTGAGGCTAGGGTTTAGGGTTTAGGGTTTGTTGGATGGTTCTGGATCGATAGGCTCTTTGACTGCTTTACGGGGATGCATGGCTCTTGTGTACCTGACTGAGACTCTGTGGCTTCTCGGAGCAGATTCGTGTGGAAAGCTCGCTGAGCTTGTCGTACTGTGGGGCTGACCGCGAAGAAGTCGGGCTCGGTGGGACCACTTGATTGTTTCCCAGTTTCGAACGTTCCTTCATTAGTTGTGCATCCCAGCTGTGCAACAGTAAACCCGGAGAGAACAACCGAACAGATCTTCTAACACTGACGAGTATCAACCTTCGCCAGATCCGTCCATTGGTTCAGAGCGGCAGTAAACTTCCACCAAGGGTCTATAAAGCAATTCATCAAACGCACACACACACACACCTCACTTGTGAATGCGCTGTCGTCAATAGCATCGTCACTAGCACCTCGGACCAACCATAATTAGCCAGCTGTCCTGCACCACCAAAGCGTGCGGTCGCTTTGTCGGCAGTTTAGTCAAAAGGTTGAGGCACTCATATAACAATCAGGTTGACTAAAAAAGCAGGTGTTCAACTCAACTATGCGACGAGTTTCTAGACAGTGCAGTGAGGCAACCAAGCACATGCCGTGGTCTGCAGAGGTGCCGTTTCTGCAGCTTGCCGGCTGTCCATTGTGAGACCAATGTAGCAAAGGCTGGGTATGAAACGCAGATGAAGCCAGATCGCTTGTTTCCTACATGGGGGTTTCCGAAAATAGGGGACCCTAATATAGTACCCTGAATAGTAGATCCTTATGAGACCCCAAAATAAGGCACCCTAATTTTCGGAAACTCCCACATCTCTGTCCCACGGTGTGCAAACCCAGCCACCCGGACCGGACCTACGGCTTTCAGGCATCAATCCTTCTTTTTCGGTAGCCGCTAGTTCGAATGAGACTTTCCGTCGGGAACTCGACTCTACACCCCAAGCCATAGGGTCGACTGAAGTATGAGAGGGTAGGTAGGAAGCCTGATGCTGACGTCATGTTCTTACATGAGGGCACCGTTCCTTCCAGCATCGCCAGCACGGACCCACAAACTGCAAAGTTGTAGCTTGCTATCATGAAGCGGTTCTCGGAGATTACCGCCCGCTGAAGAAGTTCGCATCCGTAGCGGCCGCACTTAAGGCCGAGGTCTGTGTTTAGGGTTTAGGGTTTAGGGCGCAAGATGCCCGGATCCTCTTGCTAGAGACGCGGTCTGCGACCGAATCCACGCCCAAAGTGCCGTGAAAACCGCTGGGCCGCTGGGTGTCCGCCCAATCCCGCCTGCGCTAATCTGTCATGCTCTGTATCAGCAAACATGGAACATGCCCCTGCTGTACTGCTTTGTGACTGTCAATTGCTTTCATGAGCTGTGAGCTGAGTAGCAGAGAAGCATGACGGCCCTACTGTGCCAATGCAGCATGTGCCGGATGAATTTGCGGCTCAGGACCATGGGTCCGGACAAAGTCGCCGAGACCTTGACTAGTCTGGCAAATCCTCGCCTGGGTCCCTTGAAGGTGTCATCCAAAATCAGGTCTTTTCGTTGATGATGATGCTCCTCATGGTGGTTCTTCCCTCCCTACTTACGGGTGGCCTTGCCATCCGCGAGATGCCACCAGAATCTACGGGTCAGCAGCCCGGTGAGGCCTCACCAATTGAGGAAGCCGCTGCTGAAGTGGAGAAGACTTTGGCCGAGGTGGGAGATATAGACACAAACAAGACGGCGTGCAGTCCTCTAACTTTCACACTTCCGCACGGCTACAGGCCAGGTGCATACCTTTGGGCAGCATTATCTGGGAATGGGGTCACTGTTCGGCCAGTTGTTGAGCCCAATTGTTCGGTGAAATCCTTGCGGGACGGAAATTGCACAAGCTTGCTAGGAAAGCATCTTTCTGGTAGCGGACCTGGTAGCGTACTTGGCGAGATGTACGTGCGCAAGATCGGGGATCTTGATGCAAGCCAGCACGACCGCAAAACAATTCTGCTTCATTGGGCATCAATGGTACGTGGCCAAAAGGACTACCCAGTCACAGTCGAGTTGGAATGTGAAGGCAGAACACAGCATACGTTGCCAGAAGACGTGGACGATGTCCTGATGACTTTCAGTTGTGCAGCGCTTCTGCCGCTTCTGCTTGTGCTCGTGCCCCGGTATCGCAGCAGTAAGTAAGATTGCTTATTCCTTCATGGTTTTGTGAGGCTCCACGAACCAACTGAGGCATGTCTGGGGGTGTTCATCATGCCATGCTTCTTTTGCCGGCTGTGCGGTGCTTGCGGCGGGATCGGGTTGGCAGCAGTTCCTCCAGGTCCGGAATCTCCCGATCATGTTGCAACATGGCTGGAGCAGAGCTGGTTCATACGTGCAACAGATTGGAGTTGGATTCGGGTTGGTGTTGTGATTGTCCTGGCATCTCGCTTGTTTCTTGTATCTTGCATGTTCCCAACTTCTGCAACACTGCTGAACACTGTGTCGTGGTGCATTAGTTTATGCCATCTGGTGCTGGGTCTCTCCGTCATTTGGGGCCTTCGTTCTATGCGCAGGGTCATGCTTGCCTACTGCACTGACGACCTTCAGATGTCATTACGAGGCGAGTTCCGGCTGATAGCCTGTGTGCTTGCTCCGAAAATGTTTCTGGCGTTTGTGATTAGCACAGGGGGCCTGCCGATTCTATGCATTCTGTTCATCTCACATCAAGTCTACGGCTATGGCGATGCGGGGTTAGTACAGGGCCTGGCTTTCCTCGGTTGTGAAAGCTTGATCTTCATCATGATGACCAGGTTTTTGCTTGAGGCCGCCATTGCAGGCCGTATTGTGGAGGCCGAGGTTGGCGAAGTAAAACGAGGCCTCGACATGCTAACAGTAGACCCAGATCTTTTGACGAAAGCACGCGCGGGTTGCGGAAAGCTCGCAAAAGAGATCCTTCCGGAGCTGGCAAAGATAAGTGGACCAACATTGTGCCTCGCAGCATTGCATGGTGCATTGCATTTTGTCTATGTTGTTGGCTGGCTCGTGATGACAAGCGGGGAGTATATGCCATCCACGTATTTGACCTTTCTCTTGGTATGCTCGCAGCTGGACATTTTGGTTGGACCTCTATGCCTCTTCCTGCCCGCCAGAGTTTCTGATGCCTTTGCAGACCTATTGGAAATCTTGAATGAGCTGCGGATCAAGCCAGTCAAGGAGGGTTGCAGTGCTGAGGTGGACAGAGCCTGAGCTTACAACAGAACGAGGTTCATGGTTTTGCCAATCTGCCTGATCCTTTCCCTTGCAGCATTTCTAAACACGAACTGCAAGCCACGAAACAACAATACTTCAGGGTGCTTGAAGTCTTCTCTAGCAGCTGCAGCCAAGGAGAAGTTCGACTCATGCGTAGCTTCATCAAAGACGCAAACCGTGGGAACGGCTTGGGCTTCAAACTACTCGGGCGCATTGCTTGTCCAGAGCTGCTTTTAGTTTTTATTTAGGCCTAGTGCGACATGTAGATGGCCCTCTGTGCACTTAAGGATGAGGTTGGAGAGATGAGTCAAAGCTATCTGCAAAAGTAGGGTGTTTTTGGGCGGATTGATATTGCACCCTTGGGTGAGCGAAACCAGGACAGTAGTGGACAAGCAGATGATTATTTCGATCGTCACGAAGCTTGTCGCCGCGTCTTCCGTCGTTGTGACATTGCTGCGCCAGGTGGGGAAGGTCAAGACAGATCATGCGGTCTTCTGTTGGTTTTGGGTTGGGTTAGGGTTTCCTGAAGCCCATGCGGCCCATACTTCTTTGAAGAAAGGATTTACTCCCTGTCCGGCCAGGTATACAAAGCGGGACAGGATGAAGTGGAGGCAGAACATCTGCTCGCGGGAGATGGACCCGTGTATGGCTGATTCGAAGTCACGGTTGCCTCTTCTCGACGGGTCGTCCTGGCATCTACTTGCCACTACTTTCCAATTCGTCTGCGAATCGATGCTCGACTGGCGCAGGAAGAAAGCTATATTCAGCATGCCGGTGACTCGCCTGAGAGAATTAATGTGCCTTGATGAATGTAAGCACTAGAAGCTTGAGGACGTTGAGATGATGTGTAGGCTGCATCGCTTGCTTCATGGTGATTACCAGGTTCTGCAAGCTTCTAAGTACCCTTGCCAAAAAGGTATTCTGGAAAAGCCGATCGAAGACAACGTGACAACAGGAGATTTGTGTGGTTTGCTGGCATGGGTTTTGCCTGTCGAGCCAGCATGGAAAGGGTCGAGCACAGGGTGATCAGAAAAGACAAGCAGCACCACCAGTTCCACGACCGTTGCCACCCAAACCCTATAAACCCCAAACTTAAGGGTTGAAGCCCTAAACTGTGGTGTCTAGAACCTAGAAGAACCCTCCAAGGACCTGCGATAAAGGCCCTACAGCCCTGGTAGGCTCTGTCTTGGGCTTCGGGCCCAGGGTTGATCAAGCTTGCTTCGAGGATGATCACAGCCTAGATTAAAAAAAAAACATGATCGGGGGGTTAGGGTTTAGGGGTTTAGGGTTTAGGGCTTAGGGTTTTAGTGGTGCTTCATAGCGGCTTATGGTTTCCGGTGTCTTCTGCCGGGTGTTTTATCAAAACTTGCGCGGCTGTCAGCTTTTCCTTGTTACACACTGAGAGTCCACAGCATTCGGGATTCATCACGAGTTGGGATCCGTAACGGAGTCTTCACGAGTTTGCCGGCTTCCTTGGAGAAGTGTCTCAAGTGGCACCGCCTTGCCTTGCGAAATTTCATGGTTATTCCGCCGGGCCATCATAACACCCATAAAAACCTCCTGAAACCTGTTTAGACTGGTTTAATGCAGACCCCCTGCCTTCAAGACCGCGAGGCCCGATGCGAATCTTGCAGTTTCTCAGTCGCTGAAACTCTGCGCAAAATTAGAGGCCGTTGTCAACAACAGTTAGAGTTAGGGGTTTGTTTGTTGAAATTATGGGGCTGAGGTCTTTAGGCGAAGCCCAAGGGTTTGTCATTTAGAGTTTAGGCTGCTTGCCTTGAGCCTAACCCTAAACCCCAAATCCGAAATAAACCCAAACCACTCGACACAACTTTCGCCTGCAGCTTGAGGCCCAAATCTGTCTTCTGTCTGGAGACGGGTCATATGTGTAGTTTTCTAAATTAGGGTCCCTTTGTGGGTCCCCAACATAGTAGGGCACCCTTATAAAAAAGGACACTGAAAGGGAGCCTAATTTAGAAGACTACCCATATGTAGGGTTCCTGATTAGCTCCTTGAGCCCCCAAAAAAAGCCAAAAGCCTCCATAAACCTCCCAGACTCTCCAAACCTTCCCGAGACTCCCTGAAACCCTAAACCGCTTAAGCCCCAAACCCCAAACCCCCTAAACCCCGAATACCCTAAACCCCGTACACCCTAAACTCTAAACCCCCTAAATCCTAAACTCCAAAACCCCCTAAAAGCCCAAATCCCTGCAGACTCTCGGTGCCCAGAAATTTTAGAGGATCCCGATAATTTTCGCAGACCCCAAAGACAGAGCTACCTATACTTCATTACATAACTGACTAGGGTTTTAGGGTTTAGGGTTTAGAGTTTAATGCAGCTTGCAATGTCCAGGGCCATAGTGAATCGCCGATACTTCAGGACCAAAGGAGTCCAGCTTTGGGTGTAGAGGCGGCTTTCAGAATACTATGATTCAAGCCGTCTTCTTTGAGATTATGCCGTGGTGGGCTCTCTGAGAAACGCTAGACCCTCAAGCGCAGCATAAGCCATTGTATGGTTAGGATGTTAGGGGCCCATTATAGTGACAAGCTGATGTAGCCCAAAAGGGTACTACAACCCCCGGTCGAGTTTGATGTATACCGAAACGTCCCCAAACCCCTAAACCTTCAACAAGAACTCAAAACCCCAAAATCCTATGTAGAGTAGAGAAACCCTAAACCCTAAACCCCTAAACCCCTAAACCCCTAAACCCTAAACCCCAAACCCCTAAACCCTCAACCCTAAACTCGTAAACACCCTGCCCCCAAAGCCGAACCGCGGCTGTTCGCGATGCCGCGTGTCAGTGCGCACAGCTCGGCATTGAGGGAGCTGCGCTGATCTATTTGCAGCTTTAGATGATCAGGGTTTAGAGTTCCTTTTAGGAGTTCTGATAGTTCAGGTTACCTATATAAGCTTAGGGTGTTCTGCCCTAAACCGTTTATGAGGGTTTGAGGTTTAAGGTTTAGGTTCTTGATGTAAGAACTGTCTGAACTGCCCAGAGAACCGGAAAGCCCTTAATAGAGGAAGATTGCTGAGGTACTGCCCCCACCCTGTAACAGTCCATATTGCGGGCCTCTTGAGGGCTATACAGAATCATATATTATAAGTATTATCCAACTATTACAGAGTGGGGGCTGTATCCCACTTACAAATCATGGCCTGAAGCCCTCTCGTAAGACCGCCTTGTAAATCTAAGCACACAGACCCTGCAAGCCCTGCAAAGTTTTGAGAAACCCGTCAACTTAGGGGTTGACTCGGTAACCTTTAACCTTTTGGGGCTTGTATAATCCTACTATAACTCAAAAGGTTAACCTTTTTTGGGCTAAGGTACTCTGCCTCTAAGTCAAGGAATGTCTTAAAAGAACCGCCTTTGAGGTACTTGGACTTGAGGGGTTCAACTCAGGCTCGATGGGTTTGTTGCTGTAGGGTTCTGAAAGGGTTCCTAAGGAGCCTAAACCCTAAACCCCTAAACCCTCAATCCTAAACCCTAATTATTCTTTGTTGTTGTTGTTCTTGCTTGTGGTCAAGGCCCGTATCAAGACTCTTAGCCCTTCAACCTCTTGGATACATGTGGGGGCCTTAAGAATTACCTATACTTTTTTTTTTGGGGGGGGGAGGGGG